TGTTGTAATTTCTTTAACTAAAACTATTATTATTATATTTCAGGTATCTTGGGTTTGAATGGTCTGCTAGGATTTTTGTTCTACTTTATATCGGTATTTGTTTTGTGGCTTTTGGTACTCGCCAAGTCCGGCACTGGTTGGCGTAAGTTTTTCATTAATCGCCAAAGTCTGTTGACTAACAGTTTTATGGGGGCTTTATGTACATATGTATTATTCTGGACATTCCTTTATGGTATGGTACATGTCTACTAAGCTATAGTTTTAAGTGGATATATTGCAAATTTAGAAATGATTTAGGTTTATATATAAATAAAAAATTAACACAAAAGACTTTGCAGTACTTGTCTTGTATTTATGGCATTTTGTTTTACAATTAAGCAGCTTTTAAATCCTCTGCTTGTGCTGCAGCCGCAGCGCCAGTACAATCACACCAGGGTGTATCATTTAAATCGCATTCCAGCATTATGTTTAACACCGTTATGCGTATACCTTCAATTGTCAGGTCATAGACTTTGGGTATTTTATACTGTAGGGTATTAAGGCCCGTCTGGCGATCACGTTTACGTGTCACTTCCTTTTGGTTGAAACATTTTTGTGTATCCCTTTTGCGATGATAACGATTGTGTATATGGCTGGAAATGCAAGTTCGTAGTTTAGAAAAGTTATTCAAGTTCTGTCTTTAATGCCAAAGTACTTACTTAAAAGTGTTATTAACACCAGTCTTAATATTTTGAGGTCTTGTTACACGCAGACCGGCATCTCTTATACGTACATAAAATTCATCATCTTCCAGACCCCAACCCCAGTACTTATTTGACATGCCATTTACAGCCTCAAAATGCTCCCTCCTCACCAGCAAAATACCACCCACAAAATTTTCATAATGATATTTGGGGTGTAAATCTGGTGCTGCAATATGCAGCGGACCCACATCACTGGGATAATCATAATGCAAGTCATCGTTTAAAGGCAATAAGTCAACATCATGCATGGCTATATAATCGTATACACCGCTGGTAAAACGAAAACCCACATTTATTAAAGAGGCACGATTGAAGCGGTAGCGATCAACTTGATTTAAAATAAATATATGATGATTTAAACCCTGTTTCTTAAGGAAACTGGTCATATGAGGCACAAATTGTAACAACTCTTCAAAACGATCACGAAATGGTACCAATATGGCTAATTTGTGCACAACTTGTAATTCATCGGAGGTACGACTTTGTATATCAGCATTTTCCACTTTCGGCTTCCCCCTGCTAATAGGGCAAATGCAATCTGTCAAGGTAAACGTAAAGACCATTAGAAAATTAGATCAAAATTGTTAGCTGAGGTCAAACAACTCACCTGAGCTCAATGGCATTAAACTTAGCACCACAACACCGCCTAAACAAAAGCTCAAACCACAAATAAACAACCAATTGATGGTGGCCAAGGCAGTCATTTTTATTTGTTATTTGGATAAAATCTTGAGTATTACATAAAATATTTAAAATATGCACATATGTATTAAACAAATTAGGACATTTTCTATAAATATTACACAAAAATTTGCTAATTTAGCAAAATAATTATTCGGGGAATTATAAACTACAAACCATTTAAGGTTAAACAAAAAAAAAGTATTTTTAGTTACAACAACAACGTCAGTAAATGTCAATCAGCTGTTTGACTGTTTGTAAATAAAAGAAGAGCAACTCTGTTTTTATTTTTATTATGACAATTTACGAACACTGGAGAAACCGTTAACAAATGTCGGATTTTTTTTTATTTTGCTTTTAATTTATGGGCAGGAATTTTAACGTTTCACAGCACTGATTTCTGTTGTCAGTTTATTGACAGTTTCCTTTTATATAATTCTTACAGTTGGCGCGTTTTTAGACATTTTAGTTAGTTTCTATTAGTTTTTTTAGTGAAATTGTGAAAAAGTGAAAATTTTTGTTAAAAATGTTTTTAATGCATAATTAATGAAGAGAATGTTTAAAAGAAAAGTGTTAAAATAAAGAAATATATAATTTTGTTTTGTCCCAGACAAAACCATGGTTTTGTTAAAATAAATACATATAAAAAAGTGTTGATAAAAGAAAATTCTCCATAAAAATGTTGCTACATACTACATATTTGTATGTTTAATACAATGAATATAATGAAAAAATATGTAAAATAAAATATACATGCCAGGATGCACTTATTACATCATGATACATGCTGTGGCTAATCAAGATTTTCAAGTAAGTGACATTTATCTTTTATATGAAGACTTAATTCTCTCTGGAAACTGCTAGGTACAAATTCTATAAATTGTCAACAGCATAATCAATTGCATTACAAACTACTAGTCCGTGACTTGCATATTTCGAATAATGCTTTTTATCTATATTTTCTGCAAAGATTTACATTGTCTGGGCCGTTTTTTGAATGTGTGTCTAGTGATACCTTTGTCGGTATGAGTTTGTTGGCATTTTTGTAAAAAAAGCCTCATGGATAGATTATGAATTTCGGTTGCCACTTCAGTTGCGTTGCCAGTTGCCAAAATTATGTGGATACTGGACTTTTTTAAGCCATTGCGTGGAATCTTTGTAAATAATGAATGCTTTATTCATTAATAATATGAGTTTTTGGTTGACTTGAACCATTTCTAGACTGAAGCTGACAGCGCAACTGAAGTTCGGTTGCCATTTGGTATTGTCCCTGTGGTTTATCAAGACTTTTATGTAAGTGAAAGTTATCTTTTATATGGAGACTAAATTCACTCCTGAAACTGCTAGATAAATTCTATAGATCGTCAACAGGATAGTCAATTACATAACTAACTACCAGTCCATGACCATGGAATAATGCTTTTTATGTAAATTTTCTGCAAAGATTTACATTATCTGTGCAGTTGGTGTAGTGATACCTTAGTCGATATAAATTTGTTGGTAATTTTGCAAAGAAAGCTTAAGAATGTTTTTGGAATTGACCTTACTTATTTTGAAAGCATTCATTTTATTTTGTTTGATTCTGATGATTAACTATGTTAGTTAATTGCCTGATGGGTAGCCTTTTGTTATGGATGTTTAGTATACCTATATGTTATAGTTAAAACAATTCTGTTATCCCTGGGGAAATAAATCACGCTAATACAAACAGTAAGGTTTTTTTGTCTGGCCTGCTCAGTAGGAAGAACATGAAACTTTTCTAATTCGAGCGTTATTTAACTATCTAGAACCGACTTCAGTATTGCAATAAGATATGGGAAATGGAAAATGAGGGTGTTCAAAGAAATCTTTTCTGTTCATTTAACAACTTTTTGATAGAAATGGTGACAAAATTTTAGCTTTTTCTCAATTAGGGCGTTATTTAAGTATTTGGAGCTGATTATATATTATCTATATAAAATTGAATTTTGGAACATTTAAGGATCTACAGTTGACTTTAGTATTTTAATTTAAAATTTCATTTTGAATTGAAAATACATATAAGTGAGCACAGATTTTTGCTATTTTCTCTATTTGAGGGTTTTTGGAAATAGTCCTTATTTAAGCAAGGGTCAAATGTAGACCGATCCTAACGATTAAATTTAGTGGAGAGATTTATAAATATAAATACTAATCCTTATCATTTTGGTGGGGAAATTGAGCAAATTTTAATTTTTTATAACCGAAAATAACAAAAGCATAATTTTTTATATATTTTTTTCATATTTTTTTTATTATCGCTTTTTCGTTTTGAACAGAATGTTTTTTTTTTGTTTTATTTATGTATAATATAAAAAATTAAAATACAATTTTTTATTTATTATTAATAATTATAATTTAGTGTTTAATAACTAATAAAAACACTGAATTTTCTTTATTTTCATTTATTTATTTTTTTTTCTCATTTTAATATTCGCACATATTTAATTAATTAATATCTACAATTGCAGGCAATAGAAAATTAAAATAATAAAATTAATATTATTTAAGCATTTCATTATAAAAAAAAGAATTATAAAAAAAGTTAAACAAGAGCTGTTTAAAAAAAGGAAATACATATTGTTTAAGAAATAAAAAATAAATACATATATAAAAAAATTACTACATAAAACTAAAAAAGATACATATTTACTTAAAAACTAAAAAAAATAGTTTATTGCAAAATTATAAAAATATAAAGAAGAAAAATCATAAAAGAAAGTATAGAGGAAAAAAAAAAATGTAGGGAATAAAAACTAAAGCTCAAGTGATTGAAAATTAATAATTGAAAATTAAATGCAATTAAAAAGAAAAATATATAAAAAATTAAATATTTTGTTTAAATTAATTTATTTAAAAAAAAAACTACATATACAAAATTGTGGTTTTTTGTTTGTTGTTATTATATTACGTTTTCTGTTTATTATTTTATATTTAGTTAATTTGTTTTTATTACTTATTTAAAGTACTTGCTTTTCAATCAGTCGAGCATTAGTTTCAATTTTTGTATAAAAAATCCTTACTTTTTGTGTTTTTTTCCACACATTAAATATTAGTTGTTTCTGTTTTCTTTTCTTGATAAAAGGGTGTTTTTTTATTGGGTGAGTTTATAGTTAAGTTTTTTTTGTTTAAAAGTACGTTTTTTTGTTTTGTTTTTGCTGGAAACTACTAAATAGTTACTATTTTTATTTATTTATTACATACTACTACACTTACAAATTTCACAATGATACGTAAGATTTTATTTGAAAATTTTATTCTATAAAACTACTTTCTTTATGATTTTCTTAATATTTCACTTTACGTTCATTAATCATACATTCTGTTTATTTGTTATTAACTATTTCATTTGTTAAAAATAAAATAAAAACGTAGTTAAAATGTAATTAAAAACGTAGTTAAATACATAGTTGAAATGTGTTTTTGTTCGTTAGTTTCGTTACTTTAAGGAAATTATAAAATTGATTTTAAATGTATAATAATTTTTGTTGTTGCTCTTTTATATTTAAAAAAAAGAGAAGACTAGAAGCAACAATTTTTTTCATTCTTATTCTTTTCATCATTTCATTTGTTATTTTTTTGTTTGTTTTATGTATAAAAATATTAATTAAATAATTTATAAAATAGAAACTTATATTTAGGTATCAAAAGGGATTAGCTTATAAAAATTTATAGGGGGAGAGGGGATACTATAAAGGGAATACAATAAAAATAAAGAAAATTAATTGGTGAATCCTTACATCCTAATCGTCATAACACTATTTCTTGCTGCTGTGGCCACGGGAATCTATAGAAACTTTAGAGAAAGCGCGGTTTGTTGAGTCTCTTGAATGTAACGATTTATCTAAAGTTTCCTGTTGTTTTCCATGGGCAGTTGAACAAAAAACCATGTTACAAGTCTGGGGATTCTATCTTCCTAATCATACTAAGAGTGCTAAATTTTGACAGAAAAAATTGGAAAGTTTTCTATCTTTTCTATGTCAAAGTAAAACGTTTTTCCTTTCGTGTATATAATTTCTTCGAGTGTATATAAATTTTTGTGTGCGTTTTTGTTTTTTTTTTGTTTTGTTTTTTCGTGTTCACTTAATTAATTGCACCTATACTATGTATACAGTACAATATCACTGGTTGCTTCAAATAAGCTAATTCATTCGTAATTATTAAATTTGCATCTCAATGGTTTGAATAAAACAGGGAGTCTAAAAATCGTATGTCCGCTTTAAATATTGGCACCTATTTTCTAACAGTTAATTGTTGATTAAAATTTCATTCAAAAATTGTGATTGTTTTCCGTTAAAACTTGTTCAAGTCGTTGGTCGTTATTATATTAGTGAGTGAGGAAAATAGTGTTATTTTCGCAGTTGATTTGGTGTAGTTGTGTTGGAAAACGGGTAAGTGGAAGGGTTGTAATGGTAAGGAATTTTTGTTTTGTAACTGTATTAATCTTAATTTATATAAAAAAAATTTAATAATTAGTTTAAATTAGCATGGCTAGGGGTTCATCTTTTGCGACCAGCCGCTACAACAGCCATTACTTGTTGCATGGTAGGTTCAGGAACACAAGCCTGGGGATCACATTTCATTTTACCATCACCGCCGCATCTGATCAAAGTCAAGTAAAAAAAGAAGTAGAAGACAAAATATTTAATATTTTACAAATACTAATGTTATTTTTAAAACCTCCAATACTTACGTGCAATTAATGCATGGACCACTTGTTGATTCAATCTTCTCACCCACTCTATACGATCTGCCATTGATGAGGCAACCATTACGTTGTACATTATTTCCATAAGAGTGATGTAGGAAATGAGGTGGTAAAGTGGTACTTGTCGTTGTGGTACTTGTTGTAATATTGAGTACGGTTGCCATGGAAACCGGACATTCGTAGCGGGGACAACAGAAACCGGAAATGGGTTCTTCGTGACAACCGGCAATTGGTGGTGGACAAGATTGTTGCAAACAGATGATATCGCTGCGGAAGCAGAAACAGAAGTCGCAAGGATCATCACGGGGTATTTGTTGGGCAGATACATAAAGTTTGCCACCATAACGACAAGTACCAGGACCAAAGACTTCACCCTCGTCTTCATCAGTGTATTCGTCTTCGTATTGTGTGGGACCATATTGTGGTGGTTGACCATAAATTGGTGGTTGTGGTTGATAGTGTGGAGCAGATGTGGTGACTGGTTCTGATGTGGAACTGCTAACTGTTGTTGTTGTTGTGGGTGTGGTGTATGTTTCTTCTTCCTTGGTAGGAACTGGGGTAGTGTGAGAACTAGTGTCATCAATTCGACTATCGATAGCAACTGAAGGCAATGTTGTATGATGTTGGAATAGGGGATGTACTGTTGTTGCTGGTTGCAGTTTAACTGAGCTAATATCTTCAGCCGCTTCAGTTGAGGTTTCTTCAGCAGATTCTTCTTCTTTGGGTGCACTTTCTGTGGATTGTTCAACAGCTTGTCCAAGTGTAGAAGCTTCATGTGCGACCAAAGGTAATTCAGTGGTATCCTCATGACCTTCAACTCCTGATTCAACATCTTTAGTTGGTAATTCAGTGACATGTTCTGCAATCTCAGGTAACTTGTCTGTTGACACTGGAGAAATAGCAGGCAATTCAGTTGCTTCTTCATGAGATTCTTCTTCAGACTCAACATCTTTAGATGGTATTTCAGTGATATGTTCTGGTAGTTTATCGGTGGATACTTCAGCGGAAACAGGCGCCTCAGTTGCTTGTTCATGAACTTCTTCTCCAGATTCAACATCTTTGGTTGGCAATTCGGTGACATATTCGGGGAATTTGTCAGTTGTAATATGAACATCGACGGGTAATACAGTGGCTTGTTCGAGAGATTCTTCTTCTTCTGATTCAGTGTCTTTAGTTGGCAATTCTGGTAATTTATCTTCAGTGGAGACAGGCAATTCAGTAGCATGTTCACCAGATTCCTCTTCCGATTCGATATCTTTAGTTGGTAATTCTGTGACATGTTCAGATAATTTATCAGTGACCACTTCGGCGCTGACAGGCAATTCAGTAGCATGTTCACCAGATTCCTCTTCCGATTCGATATCTTTAGTTGGTAATTCTGTGACATGTTCAGATAATTTATCAGTGACCACTTCACCGCTGACAGGCAATTCAGTAGCTTGTTCATGGGACTCTTCATCAGATTCGATATCTTTGGTTGGTAATTCTGTGATATGTTCGGGTAATTTGTCGGTTGAAACATGTGCATCGATAGGCAATTCGGAGGCTTGTTCATGTGATTCATCCTCTTCTTCTGACTCTGTGACTTCAGTTGGTAATTCAGCATCATGTTCAGACAATTTGTCAGTAGATACTTCAGCGACCATAGGCAATTCTGTGACATGCTCAGATAATTTATCAGTGACCACTTCACCGCTGACAGGCAACTCTGATGCTTGTTCATGGGATTCTTCATCAGTTTCGATATCTTTGGTGGGCAATTCTGTGATGTGTTCGGGTAATTTGTCGGTTGAAACATGAGCATCAATAGGCGATTCAGTTCCTTGTTCATGTAATTGATCCTCTTCTTCTGGCTCTGTGTCTTTAGTAGGTAATTCAACGTCATGTTCAGGCAATTTGTCAGTAGATTCTTCAGTGAACACAGGTAAATCAGTGGTTGCTTCATGGGATTCAACACCTTTTGTTGGTAACTCAGTAACATGTTCTGGTAGTTCATCAAACGATACATGACCACCCATAGGTAATTCAGTAGCTTGGGATTCCTCTTCTTCTGAAACATCGTGCTTAGTTGGTAATTCGGTAACATGCTCGAAAAGTTCTGGCAATTTTTCAGCGGAAACTGGCAATTCGGTAGATACTTCCTGAGATTCTTCATCTGATTTAGTATCCTTTGCTGGTAATTCAGCGACTTTGTCTGTTGATACTTCAGCGCCCATGGGAACTTCAGTTGGTTCTTCATGAGACTCGCCTTCTTCGGATTCAGTAACACTAGTTGGCAATTCAGACTCTTGTTCAGTAAGTTCAGGCATTTTATCAGTTGATACCTCAGTAACAACGGGCATTTCAGTAACTTGATCATGAGATTCCAGATCTGATTCAATATCTCTAGTTGGTAATTCAGTAATATGTTCAGCCAGTTCGGGTAATTTGGCAGTTGTAGCTTCATGTACTTCTTGCTCAGCGACTGCAGGTACTTGAGTTGTATATTCTTCAGTCTTATCAGCATCGTCTTCAATTTCTTTCTCATCGTCAGATGTTGGTTTTTCAGTAACTGAAACATCGGAGATTTCATCGACATGAACTGGGAATTTAGAAGTAGTAGCATCGGTATCTTCCAATGTTTCGGGTACTTTAGTGATATCTAAAGTTTCTGAGCTTTCTTCCGACGGTTTAGTTGTAGCCATATCAATATCTTCAATTGAGGTAACAGATAATATGTCGTGATCAGCAGGTTGTTCAGCCGTAGAAGTTTCAATGTCCTGGCCAGCAAGTTCTTCTTCAGTATGTGAAGCAGTTGTATGTTCAACATCTTCTGAGGGAATGTGAGAAACAGTAACTTCAGAAATTTCATCAGCTTGCGTTGGTAATTTTGTAGTTGGACTTTCAATATCTTCCGTACTCTCTGATTCTTCTTCTCCATGTAATTTATCTGTAACTGTTTCGATATCTTCAGGAATAACAGAAGCTTGAGTAAAGGCAGAAATATCTTCTTCAAGTTCTGGTTGCTTGACAGTAATGGAATCAATATCTTCAATATCGACAGCTTGAGCAGTAACATGTTCAATTTCATCGGCAGCCAAAGGAGCTTTAGTGACAGAAGGTTCAACATCTTGTTCTTCAGATTCTTGAGCAGTAACATGTTCGACTTCTTCAGATTCCAATGGCGATTTCGTGACGTCAGATACACTTTCCTCTTCAGGAAGTTTAAAGGTAACTGATTCAATTTCCTCATCAGAAACAGGAGCTTTAGTGACATCGAGTATGTCTTGTTCTTCAACCTGTTTATCGGTAACAGCTTCAATATCCATAGGAGTTTTGGTAACAGTTGAAAAGTCTTCTTCACTTTCAATCTTGTCGCCAGCAATTGGAGCTTTAGTAACATATTCCATATCTGGAGCTCCGGGTTGTTCAGATGAAACACCTTCAGTTAATACTTCTTCCTTGGACACTTCAGTTGTAACATGTTCACCCAATTCCATTTCTTCTTCGCTTTCTGGTTGTTGAGCAGTAACATGTTCAATATGTTCATCAGATACAGGAGCTTTAGTAACAGATAGAATGTCTTGTTGTTCTTCTTGTTCAACTGTAACATTTTCATTATCATATTCTGCAGGAAGTTGAGTGGTGACATCTTCAAGTTCTGCCATAGGAGCTTTGGTGACACTTGGAATAACATCTTCTTCTGTTTTCTGAACGGAATCATCTTCGGATGAAATAGGTGTTTTAGTTGCAGATTCTTCATCTGCAAGAGGAGCTTTTGTAACAGCTGAAGTAATTTCTTCATCTGATAATTTATCAGTGGATACATCAACAGCGGGCTGCTCGGCATGCTCTGTGGTAACAAACAATTCAACTTCATGTTCAACAGCTGGTTCATGTGTTTCAGTGCCAGTTTCGATTTCTTCACCTTCCTCTCCAGAAGCTTCTTTATCTTCTTCCTCACTGATGGATTGAACTGTCGGTATAGAGGTAGCTTCTTCCACACGTTCAGTAACAAATTCGCCAATATGTTGGATCTTGGTAGGCTCAGTGCCAATTTCTTCTTCAGATTCAATAGATTCTCCAGATGCTTCTTCAGATAGATCCAATGATGGTTGTTTAACTGGAGTATGAGTACTTTGAACTTCAATTTCCACGGCTGGTGCAACTGTGGTTGATTCATCGATAGCACTTGTAGGTTTCTCTTTTTCGGCTTCAGAAACCGAAAGTTCGTCTTCTTTCATATCCTCTTCAGAAGAAATAACTTCAGAAGTTGTTTCATCTGATGTGAATGGTCCGTGTGTCATATGTTCAATATCTTCTGGTGAATATTCATCTGAAGCGCTAGGAGATTTGGTAACTGATTCTTCTCCTTCAACTGAAGGAGCCACAGTATGAGCCAAAGATGGTTCCAATTCACCTTTAACATCTTCAATAGAGGGTATGGTAGTTTTTTCTTCTGTGGATTCGGTGACCTTTTCAACTGGTGCACTTGTGATTTCTTCTTCATCGGACTCAGTTTGTTCTTCTATAGAAACATCTGTAGACGAAGCAATTGTGTGGTCCTCTGCCAATTCTTTGTGTTCATCAATCTTATCAACAGGGGAAGCGGCTGTAGTGGCGGATATATCTTCAATAACATCGTGAGATGGAACATCAGTATGTACTTCATCCATTGAAGGAACTGACGATGATGTATCAATTTTAGTTTCGAAGTCAATTGGTTTTTCTGTGGCAATATCAGTGCCTGAAGGTGTAGTTTGAATTGAAGATTCGTCATCAAAGGTTGGAACAGCTGTAGTTTGAGTTTCCTTTTCTTTGTCTTCTTCAACTGATTCTTCAGAAGATGGAGCAAAAGTATGTTCTTCTGAGGCAGTAATTGAGGTTTGGGTATCAGGTTGTTCATCTTCTTGAGATTCGCTAATAGGAACTACAGGAGTGGAACCTTGAGCACCGGATTCTTCAGATGTTTCCTCATGTTCATCAAGAACAATTGGAGCAACAGTATATTCCACAGGTGCTTCATCGATAGTTTCGGAAGCAACAGTAGTGCGATCGAATTCTTGTTCGACTGATTCTTCTTCTTCAGTAGGTTTAACAGTTTCAGTTTCATCTTCTGTGGGTGGAGCAATTGTATGAACTTCTTCCTTATCAAATACGGATGGCAGAGCAGTGGATGACATATCGTCTTCGAATGGTATAGCATCGGTATGGTCTTCTTTTTGTCCTTCTGGGACAGAAGTGCTTGTTGAAGCAACTTCATCCAATAATGCAGCATCAGTATGATCCTTAACTTCTGAAGAAATAGTGTGATCTTCGATTTCCTCAGATGGTTTTTCAGTAGTAGATGTTGTATATTCTTCAGAGTCATCGATTGAAGGAACAGCTGTTGTACGAGTAATATCTTCTTCTTCGGTTTCTGCATCGAGATCCTTAATTGGTGCAGCAGTTGTGAATTCTGAAATATCTTCGCTTGAATCTTCAGCAGAGTGCTCCTTTTCAGCAGATTCAGTAGACACAGTTGGGAATTCAGTATCTTTAGCTGGTGTTGTAGTTTCAGTACCCGCAATTTCTTCTTGTTTTTCAGATGATGTTTCTTCAACAGATGGTGCCAATGTGTGAACTTCATCGCCAGCCATTGGATAGGCAGTTTGAGTTTCTGATTCTTTGGATGGTTCGATTTCTTCGTGAGATTCAATGGGAAGAACAGTATGTGTTTCTTCTGTCTCTTCAGATGACTCTTTGTCCTCTTCGGATGAAAGGGATGGAAGAGCAGTTTGTGTTTCTGTCTCTTTGTCATCTTCGGATGAAAGGGATGGAAGAGAAGTTTGTGTTTCTTTTTCTTCCTCGGATAATGGCACAGAAGGAGCAGAAGTATGAGCTGCAGGTTCTTCTGCAATATCTTCGGTAACGGCAGCTTCTTCTTCTGTTGATGAGGTAGGCAATGTTTGAGTTTCAGGTTGTTCTTTTTTGTCTTCTTCAATTGGTTTAACAGTATGATATTCATCAGATGAAGGTACTGCTGGTGTAGTTTGAGTTTCACTTTCTTCTTTTTCATCACTTGGGACATGTGCAATAGAATCTGTTGTGGATTCGACGAGACCATGTGCGAATGTAGTATGTTCGTCCAATTCTTCTTCTGATTTCTGTTGGTCAACAGGGTGCTCTGGAGCAGTTTCCTTCTCTGCTGTCTCAACTGGAGCCTTTTCAGTAACAATCTCTTGTGGTTCTTGTTCAGACGTTTCAACTGGTGCCATTGATTGGGGTACAACAATATCCTCGACAACAGCGGCTGGTGTAGTAGGTGTCTCATCTTCAGCAATAATATCTTTTTTGTCCTCAGCCATAGTTTCAATAGGAGTTTTAATAGTCTGTTGCTCAAATTCTTCTTCGTCCTTAACATGTGACATTGGTTCTTCAGTACTAGCGACAGGCATTTCAATTTCAGGAATACTAACACCTTCAGATGCTAAAGAAGGTTTAATGCTAGTAGTTTCAGATTTTTCAGTATCGGCTTCTTCAACAGTTGGTTGTACAGGGAGTTTGTGAGGAGCTGCGGTAGTTGTGTATTGAGTTTCTTCATCCTCATCTTCTTCAACTGATTCAATGCTATCTTCACTCTTAGGAGGTAAACCGTCAACATCGCAAATGTATGAAGGACAGCACTTGTTAGTACTAGTTTCATCCAATTTGCATTGTTCGACATTTTCAGGAATATCGCATTTAACGCGCTCACAAGTAACAATGCTGCTAACACATTTGCATACAATTTCACATTCGTCAGAAGTAGGAACAATGGTATTGTTTTCATAAGTTTTCTGTCCAACCAAACAATCTCCTTCACCTGGAATAACTGAAGGCAATTGCATATCTGGCATTTCTTCAACAACTGTTGCTTCGACAATTGGTTTAATTGTGGTGGATGTTGAAGATTCTTCATCAATTGAAGGTTCTTCGGTAGCAGTTGGTGCAACTTCCTCAGTTTCGGTTTCTTTTCTAATATCTTCTTGAGCATTTGGTTCTGGTGTCGTAAAGGCTGACATGTCTTCAATAATGACCATTGGACTATCTGTAATTCCAGTTGTTTCTTCAACTTTGTGATCACTTGTTTCAGGCATAACTTTGTGTTGATCTTCTTCTCCTTCTGTAATAATGTCAACAGTTGGTGTTGATGTAGTTTGTTGGTCAGCTTCTTCAATAGTTTTGTGGGTGGTAACTTCTTCTGATTCAAGAGATTCTTCAGTACTTTCGAGTTTATGTGTATCGTCTTCACCACTTGTTTCTTCAGATTCACCAACAGCACTAGGAGTGCTCGAAATGGAAGCTTCGGAATCAACTTCAATAGTTCCTTCTGTTGGAAGTTTTTCTTCAAGTGATGTAGCCATTGTGGTAATATCAATTTTATCTTCGGCGGGTGATTCTTCTTCGGTTTTATCTTCATCATTAATCTTAATTGGAGTACTGGTACTGAAGGAAATTTCTTCTTCTGAAGGTATTTTGGTAGCTGTTTCCTTTTCTTCTTCAGAGATGCCTTCGGAAACTTCAGCAGCAGATGTTGTAACTTCGGTAACAGCTGGCTTGGTTGTAGTAATATCCAATTGTTCTTGATCCACCTTGATTTCCTCAGCAGATGTTGTGACATCGGAAACAGAAGGTTTAACTGTAGTAAGATCCATAAGTTTAGTATCTTCTTCAGATTCTGCTGATTCTTCAGATACTTCAGAGGTGGAGTCTCCTTCACCTTCTGTTGGTGTGAATGGTTTAGCCGTGGCATATTCTTCTTGTGATAGAGGAATGGAAGTTACAGCTTCAGTAGTGGGAACAACAGCTTCGGACAGTTCTTCGTCAGTATGGTCGCCACTGCCTAATTCGTCAGCAAGTACAGGTTTATCTTCTGCTGAAGGAATGGTAGTGTGGTCTTCTTCAGATTTGGTAGGAGCTGTGGTAATATCAATTTGTTCTTCATCAGTGGCAATTGGTTTTCCTTCACCAGATGCTTCTTCCGACACTTCGGTGGAGCTTTCAATTTCTTCTTCAGTAGATGCAGAGCCAATATCAACTGGAGCTTGAGTTGGTTCCTTATCATCTTTTTCTTCTTCAACTTCAGGAGCTGTAGTTGCAGATAGTTGACCTTCATCAGAAGTAACAGGAAGTTTAGTAACCATTTCAGCTTCTTCAGATTCAACCGAGGTTTCGGAAGAAGATTCTTCTTCGCCATGGGGTTTAGTTTCTTCGGCCGGTTCTTGTCCTGTTGTAGGTAACATTGTAACAGCTTCTTGTTGTTCTTTTTCTTCTTCTTCTGGTTTAACATCCTTTTTGGGTTCTTCCGTAGATAATTGCTCATCTTCGATAATATCTTTGCCAGGAGCTGGGGTTGTGGCGACACCCTCTTCTTCTGTGATATGTGATTCTTGTTCTTCGGGTTTACTAGCAATTGATAGTGTTTCTTCTTCAGCTGTGGGAGCTTTAGTAGATACTTCATCGGCTTCTTCACCAGAAATTTCTGTAGATTGATCTTCCGATGATTGAACAGGAGCTTCTGTAGCGAACTCATCATGTTGTTGTCCAACAGCAAATGGAGTTTTGGTGGCTGCTTCTTCGATTGTCTCTGTTGCATGTTCCATATCCAAAGGAGCTTTAGTTGCAGAGTCATCAGTATCAACGGGCTTGTGTTCTTCTTCGCCAGCAATAGTAGCTTCAGTGACAATTTTCTCACCAGCTTCTGTAACGGATTCGGTCGAGATACCTTCATCACCAAGAGTAGGAACCATTGTAACAAGTTCTTCTCCGGCAACAGGTTTAACTTTATCAGAGGATTCAGTGGATTCTTCGGATACTTCTTCACTTGGAGTGACTTCTGTAGAAGATTGACTTTCTACAGCATCAACCGCAGGTATCTTGGTAACGGATTCTTCGTGTTCAGGTTTGCCTTCTTCAGATGTTTCGGTAGCATATTCTTCACCACTAGCAGTAGCGTCAGTAGAGATTTCATCAGCAGCAATAGGAACTTTAGTAACTGCTTCTTCACCAGCATGTTCTTCTTCTTCTTCTTGAGTGGGTGATTTAGTAACGATTTCTTCGGATGATTCAGTTTTACTTTCATCTTCAGCACCAACGGACAATTCAGTTGATGATTCTGGTAATTCATCAGCGCTAGTTGGAGCTGTGGTAACAGACTCATCACCTTCTGTTGGTTTGACATATGTCGAAGATACAGTTGTTGCTTCAGTTTCATCAGAAACCTTAGTAACGGATTCTTCTTCAACACCTTCATGTTTTTCTTGATCCTCAGTAGTGGTAATTTGATGATCAGGTAATTCATCAGCACTAATTGGAGCAGTAGTAACAAATTCTTCACCTTCAATAGGTTTGACATCTGTCGATGATACAGTTGTTGCTTCGGCTTCATCAGAAACTTTAGTAACGGATTCTTGTTCGGTATCGTCTTGTTTTTTATGATCTTCAGTGGCGGTAATTGGTTGATCAGTTGGTTTGCCGATAATGCCAGCTTCTGTAGCATCTTCTTTTTCTTCTGATTCACCTTCAGTTGAGGGGACCTTAGTTGCAGTCTCTTCTTCGTCGATATGAGTTTGCAATTGCAAATCTTCTTCGGGTATGGCACTATGAAGATCCTTGACTGGAGCGGCAGTAGTAATCTTTTCATTTTCATCGAGGCTACCATAAGGCAAGGTAGTAGCTTCAATAATCTGTGTTGTGGCAGTGTCGTCTTCGCAAACATAATTGCTGGGGCAACATTCACCTTCAGCAGCGGGCAAAGCGTGGCATGATTTACCATTATCATTAAGCATAGGCATATGACATTCTTGAACTGCACAAATGATATCACCACGCATACAATAACAGTTTTCACAAGCAGTTTCGCCAGCAATGCGAGCACCATCAGCATATAATTCACCATTATGAACACAATCGGTTGAAACAGAGGGAGACATGGTGCTGGTAAGAATGAAACCTGTAGTTGGACGTTCAGTGGTTGTGGTAGTAGTAGCTTCAGTTGTGGTAGAATGATCCTCCAATTCGAGTACATCGTTTTCGTGGTCTAAGAAAATAAAAAAAAATGTATTATTGTTTTTAAGTAAAATAAGAAAAAATATTTACCGCAATTGTAGCGTACAGGACAGCAAGAACCCTTATTATAAATTGGAGTGCAGCCATCAATGTGCAATGTACATTCTTGCATTAAACAGGAGGTACGATTCTTAATACAGTAACAAAGTTCACAAGGTTTGTTGGGATTTGATGGAACTTGAGCACCTTCCAAATAGAATTTACCATCAATACTGCAGCCAAACTTCTCAGGGAAACTCAATTCTGTGCCAGGTGCGGGAGCAATATGAGCAACATCGACAGGAACTGCAGGCGTTAGAAAGAAAAAGGAAAAGAGAAAAAAAATGGAGATAACGTTGTAAATTATAAAATAAAGTAATTTTCTTTAGTTAACAATACTCACCTTCGGGACATGTAATGATTGGACAACATTGATCCTCACGTTTCTCCACTATGCAATCATGTCCAATGGGCTTGGTGAACGGACATACACGCAAATAGCACATGAGCATCTTATTGTGGCACGTACAATTCAAACAGGGCTCATTTGTCATGATTCTATCGCCTTCATTGTAATGATTGTAGTTGTAGTAGCAGCCTTCTGCAACAAAAAAATCAACAAAAGCATATAAAATGAAATAAGTTTTATAATAGAAATACTCAGGAAGTAAGTACAAATTGCTAGTCCATAGTAAGCAAATTTAGAATAAATTTGTTGCTTGACTTGGTTATGTAAATTGCCTTAAAAAGTTAAGTATGTATTCTTTTCTATATGATTTCAAGTCGACTTAATACCACATGTATACGCGGGGCTTATTCTTCTTCCTAATGGTTAATAACATAATCTGTTTTTTTTTTTTTGCTTTCCTTTTAACTACCATTATAAAAATATTAGTTGCAAATATTTGTTTTTCATATTACACTAATAGTTTGGTGGAAAATTATAGCTATTTGAAGCATTCGTTTTGGAATACTCAAATTGTTTATGTTAGAACAGCGAATAAGTTGGTTGATTAAGAAGACAATGTTATAGAAGTTGAAGGAAAAATGTTTTCATACAATAATGAGACAATCATGTTAGATTTTTCTTTATTTTTTTTGTTTGTTTCATTCAAATTTGATATTCTAACTCCGTAACCTTTATTGTGTTCTATAGTTGATCTAAAACATGCAATCTTTTTTTGTTTTCTACTATTCATTCTTCTCAAATAAATGCATTCAATTGTTGGCTGTTGATTTATTTATATTTTTGACATCATATAATGAATATGTGTTTGATATGTCAAACGATTTAGAGGTCTTCTGCTAACAGAGTAGAGAAACCGAAAAATAATCCATGATCCTGTTATTAAACTTTAACTTTAGTATAATTCAAATAGGTATAATTTTCAGAAATCAGCTGTTTAAAACATTATTAAGGATCAGATATGTTACAAGGTTCTATAAAGGGTTAACTAGTTAAAGGGATACTAATTTCAATCAAACTACTTTAGGTTGCATCAAACTAGTTTATTCTTTACACCTTAATTAGGAGCTCAAAGATAGCTAAGCTGAAGTAGTAGTGAATTTATGCAAATATTTAAATCCCTTTTAATTTATTCTAAATTTAAAGCTATTTTTCTTGTCATAATGAAGATTTTCAATTTTTATTATTTTTTTGCCATTTCATGTTTTATTTATAGAAAAATAATTCTCAAATAAATTCGCATGTTTTTGAATCCATTTTTTACAATTACAAACTCATGTACATATATCTTCATCATCATGGAAAGGTTAATCATTATTGTAAGTGTCTGCCAGTGTTTTTATTATTTTTTTTTACTACCATTTGTATCTGTATCTCATCAATGTTGTACTTCTCTACCTACTTGCATAATATTTATTATGTTCTAGTTTAGTTTTTGCGTTTCTATTTTATTTTTTGTTTTTATAGGATGATTCTCATGCACTTAACCTTAATTTGTTATTAAAGGTACAAAGATATATATATTTTACCTTGATAAAAGTGTATAGTTTTAATTATAAGTGGGAGATACTTTTCCATACTAATGATTATCAATGCAATAAAAATACATGGAAATTGTAAAGTATTTTTTTCCCCCAAGTAGAAATAGAAATAGTTCAAGGCAATAAGTATTTAGTTATATTGAAAATATGCTTAGAAAATTTATTTAAGAAATATGTTTAATGAGAAAGTAGTAATGGTGCAGGCAAATGCAGGGTTTGATTCGCAGCCGCCAATCATTAACAATTTTGTGGTATTTATCAATCATTCAACAGTATTGAATTGTATCAAACGGCTAATTTTAAAGTACTGGTCAAGTTCAAACTACATTAAGTTGTATCAAACAGCTTTCGACTGTTTTAAACTTCTAAATAAAGTTTGAAGTTGCAAACGAACTAAATTCAATTCGAATGGGAACTTCTATGCAACTGATTTATGTTTCTAAGTACATATAACACTGCTTCATATATTGTATGCAGTTATTTATCAAAAATTTGAGTTCAAACTTATTTCAGTGGTATCAAACTATTGTCTTTCCAACATAATTTAAACATTTTAATACTTTGCCACTTGTTCCAAGTCCTTATTTTCCCAATGACAATGATTTCATCATATTTAACCTTTTTTTAATTACATTATACTTATTACTATTATAAACTGAAAGGTTAAATGTTCTACTTATTGTCAGTAATTAATTTAAATAACATGCTTCAGTTAATGTAAATTTATAAAAACCAAACTAAAAATGTTTTAATATTTTAAATGACAACTTAATACATCTTAATCTCATCAAAAAATAACCTTTTGTTTGTAAATCATAGTATCCATTCCATTGTAAAATGTTCTATACGAAACAAGTGTATGACCACAAACAAAAACAAATAAACATAATACCACAATTGTTTTTCCGTGTAAAAGTGACAAATTGTACAAATAATTACAAACAAAATTACAAATAATTATAGATAATGGTTAAATTAAGCTGGAACGTGTTTAAAACAACGACTATGCAATGTTTTTAAGCCCCCCCAAACTTCTACATTATAATTTAATAATTGAATGGATAGATGTGGATAAATAAATAAATGAATGAATGGATGGCTTGTCGGTTGAATGGTTGTTGGTCTGTTGTTGGCTTTGGTCGGAGAGATAGAAATACAGACAAGATAATGACATTATAAACGGCTACTTTGTGTACAAAACAATACGACATTTACAACATCAGTGTTAATATTATTTATATTATTGCAAGTGTTGTTTTTTTTTTTTTGTTAAATACTCGTTCATAATCATAAAATATTATGAGTAACTAGAGACTACTACTATGTGACTTAATCTAAAATTCGCTATATCACAATTGGTGTAGTTTTTTTGCCGCAACAATTTCCTATGAGACTAAATGCTGGTGACAGCAGTTGTAGCAGAGGTGTTTGTGGATATTCAGGGACAGTGGTAAAGATTTGGAAAAAAAAACTGAAATTTATACATATTTATTAAAAAAAGGTTGTAAGCTTGTTTGATGCAACTTAAAGTATTTAGTTTGAAAGGATTGGAATATGTTGAAAGCTATGAAATTGATGGAACTGAATAAGTAATTGGATTTATATAATCCACATTTAAAAGTGCTACACAGTGCAAATGGTTGTAAGCTTGTTTGATGCAACTTTATGTAGTTTGAAAGGATGTACAAAGTTTGGAATTTATCAAATAGATAACTGGAGTTTTTAGAAATATTTCAAGCAAATTATAAAAAGGTTTAACTTTGTTTGATGGAACTTAAAGTTTGAAAGGATTAGAAAAATATAATAAAAATGTTTATTAGCTTGTTTGATGAAACTTTAGGCAGTACGACAGGATTGGAAGAGAACCTTAGAGATTACTATAACAATCTGTTGAAAAAGTATTTAATAGTTATGGTTACTAGATAGTTGCTAGATATGTGTATAATGTGTGTTGTTGTAACAGTTTGACCTATAGTTCATTCCTGGGGCAGAGTATGACTCGGGTCGTTCCGGAGTGATGTTGTCGTGGGAACGTATATAATGTATGTAAACTGGTTTGATGTAACTTCAAGTAGTTTGAGATCACTGGCTGAAGTTTGAAGTTATGGAACTTTATGTTACTATAGCTTATAACTGGAGTTTTGAACACATGCTACATATTAGACTTTGTAGATGGTAGACTTTGAGGTAGTAAGGATTTGTTTGACAGGTAGTTTATCGAACTTATGCAACCTGTTGGACTCAAATCAAAATTTCTGTCTTAAGGTAGTTGAGAACGTTTGAAGAATATGAGTTACTAAATAGATTTGCCATAATGTTCTCAACTTTTTAAACATTCTAAGATGTTTATAGTTTATCCAATATATCGGATTTAAGCAACTTTAAGGCAGTACAGATTTGTTGCATGCTCTTTAATACAGTTTGAGAGCTTTGCAACCTTTTGGACTTAAATCAAAGTTTAGATTTTAAGCATGTTAGGTAGCTTAGACCATTGGAAAAAATATGATTTGTTAAAAATTTCTGAACTTTTTAACCACTGTAATTACTGGACACTCACTTGCTAGGCCTCAACAACAACAGCAAATAAACCTTAAGAGATTTAATGCCACATTAATTTGGCTAATAAACTACAGCAACAAAAACAACAACAACAACAACGTTAATATAAATTTAAGTTATACCATGAACATAATAAAGACATCATACAACAAACTCAGCATTTATTTATGTAGTTGGTGTCAAACAAGTGTATAATCGTACTTACATACATACGTATGTATATTATAGTTAAGTAGTCACAGTAAATTAATACTTGATGTTATTTCGTTTAGGCTCTTTAATGACTAATGGGCCTCTTATGGACGATTACTATACGCATGTTAACAAAAAACAAAAATAAATTGACACACAACAGCCAAACAGTCTATATAGCCGCTGACTGCTGCCGATAGCAGCATAATGCATTTAATAGCAGCACGTGCATTTAGAGGCGAGTAAAATAAAAAACTTTTAAATAAATACCTTACTACCAATTTTTATATTAAATTATAGTTAATATCCCAAACGTGTTGATTATGTTATCAGTTTGTATGTATGTTAGGGGAATTTAAACGTTTTCTTTTTTCCCCGTTTTATTTATATTAACTTGAACTACTTCAGGTTTTGTTTTCTTTAAAGAAATTTGTGTCACATTCTTTTTAATCAATCAATTAATCATTTTGCACATCTTAAGCACGTTTTTGTTCTATATACTTTTTTTTACATGAGAATAGACTTGAACTAATTTATGAGATGTTCATAGCCCCTCCCCTGTCCATAATGAGTAGGGTATACATAAGTTTAGCATTATACTTATATTCTGATTTTTTATAAATAGTGAATTCAATTTATCGATATCCTTGAGTCTGTCTCTGTAAAGGCCCCTGATATATTCGGGATTGATATTTTGAATAACTCTACGTGAAGCTTTTTATTTATAATCTATAAACTAGGCCCATAAATAACGGAGATATGATCAACATTTTGTGCTAAACATTTTTTAAAATATTTACAAAGATTTTAAAAATTATAAAAAATATTTTTATTAACTATAGTAAAGGGTATATAAAATTCGTTATAGCCTAATATAACACTCTCACTTGTTTCAATTAACTTTCATGAAAAAATACTCATTTATTTAAAAATTCTTGAGTAATTAAGTCAAACATGGAATCAATTACATTTTAGGCGTTACACTACGAGCAGTGTTATTCCTCAATGAAAGCTAATTAACACAAAACTAGTACCGTAACTAGTTCTTAGTAGTTAGTGTAAAGGTTTTTTTTTATATTTGAATCATTAAAGTGATAAGATCTTTTGCTACAAGTCACGCTGATATAGTAAGTAGTTTTAATTTGATTTATTATCTGTGAATAAACGCTTGTCGCTTAACGCCTTAATTGTAATTCTCTTAATTCACATCTTTCTAACATTGAATTTTATGCATATTTAAATGTTTTTTAATATTGTTGTTGTGATAATATTATGACAACTTGTTTTATTTGCTAAGCTACTGTTTTATAATTTGTTTTTCAAATTATATATTGTTAAGGGGTGATCAAAGTGTTTGGGTGCGATTTAACTCCCGCAAAACGTGATTTTGTTTTCTCATGTTTAACATTTAATTGCTTATTTAACACCTCATTATTTAGAAGAAGGAAGACAGACAGACAGGTAGTTTGTTATATGGGCGTTTATATATATTTAAAGTTTTGTTATAAAGTTATTTATATCAATTTTTTATTGTCTGTTTTATCTTTGCCAATTTGTGCTAAATTGTTGGTGGGTATGAGTGAATCGCTCCATGTTTTGTTTTAGATTATTAACTTTGTGGGAGAATTTTGAGAAATAATTATTTTAAAAGAATTGAAAATTTGATTGTGCTAGCCATTCTTTTGTAAAGTCAAAGTTCAAGGTGTTGGATGTGTTAAATAATTATTAATAATTTAATTATAAGTTCTTATTAAAATGATTTGTACTTCTGTTTTGAAAATTTTTTTAAAGAGCAGAAAAAGTTGCTTTACCTATCCTTTAGCAACGATTTTAAACTATTCTCTCTCTATCTTTTCCTCTCTGTTTAGAAACTCCAGTATACTTTTAGGCTCATAAGCATGCCTATGGTCCTTCATAAGCATGCCTATGGTCCTTCGAAAAATATCGCTTGTTCGTTTGATTTCCGTGCTTAAACTTGTATAATTCTTTTATATTTTCAAAATAAAATTATTTTTATCAGTGTTGTAATAACAATTATAATAAAGTTTCTCATAATTAAATTAATTTATTATAATAAAAAGTAATAGTTAATTTAAAAAGAAATAATTTTTAAACAAATTAAAATAAATCTGAAAGTTATTAACTGACAGGGAAATTTAAGCACAAACTTAATAAATTTACTTGAAATTACTAACAAAATATAACACAAAAAGTAAGTTTTCTATTTCTAAACAAACTCTTCGGATCCCTATAATTAACCGGTATAAGCTCTAACATTTTGCTTAACATACACTTCACAATAATCTCTTCTCCCCAATGAAAATTTGTTTAAGGCAATTATAATTTTTTATGAACAATTTCCTTTTTGTGTTTAATCCAACTTTATAGTAACGGTCCTTAGGTTGTTAAAGCGCTATATAAACTCAGCTGTAGTTATAGTTATTCGTATGCAAAAATCGTGGATATCAGGTAATTTTTGCATTAATCTTGAAACATGAATGTAATAAAAGGATTTATTCTAAACCCCACACTTAAAATTCTAAAGAGAATTGCAAGGAATAAAAACATTAACTATGCAACAGGTCTTTTACATTTCACAAACTCTAATAATAAACTGACTGGCAACAACTGGTGGCAGACAAAAAAAAAAACTCATGTCTGCCATGTTTCAGCAGAAGGTAGTCATCATAAATTTCCGGTAATCATGTACCGAGTACTAGCAACAAAAAAATATGGAAGAATTATTATGTAACATAAGAATTGTCGTACTAGTATGTACATGCAACAAGTTGCATGTGGTTTTAATATATGTATGTAGACAATTTTTCAACAATTTATGTATATTGTTTAGGGAGTGTTAAATTTGGTTTATTTATAAAACTATCGTGTGTTTTATATAAATAAGATATTTTTAGAAATTCCTTTGCATAGCTTTAGGCATAAGTGTATTTATTAGGTAAAGCATACTTTTGGGCTCCCTATAACTAATATAATTGCTCTTGTGACTAATAAAAACCAAATGAAAAGTATCTGGCAGTAATAAATACTGTAATTTATAGGACTAGGAGTAGTGTAACATCAGCTTATCAATTGGGATAATGACTTTTCTTTATTACATTATATACAAAAAAAAGTAAAGCATATTTTTGGGCAGCTTTCTTTAACATATTTTCCAAACAAACCTAATACTTATAATAATTGCAAAATCGTCTACAATTTTACATAACCAAATGTAGAATTTTTAAAAAATAATACAAATTAGACACACTTACCAGTATATTGTTGAATTTCTGTGTAATCTTGTAAAGGAGCTGTAATAAGAAAAAACGAACAAAAATTAATTAAAATGTTAGCGAAAAAATCTTAAAAAAAAACAAAATTAATTTCTTTTAACAACAAACTACTAATAAATTAACAAAACGTCTGTTTTTGCAGCTACTAAAAATAGCAGAAACGTAAATTATCTTGTTGCTTGCAACAAAATGTCCAACAATAAATTGTTTCTTTGCAAAGTAAAGAAACAAACCACCGTTTCTGGTTCTTTTATACCGAAAAATGTAAAAAAAACTCCATAATCTCTAGTTAAAAATCTTGGACGACGTAAAGACAGTACAATTTTGTTACTAGATTCTTTTAGCACTGACTTTCTTCTTCTTGTTCTTAGTATTTTTCTTTTCTTTTTTAATCTAATGACCAATTTGTTAGAGGCAAGAATTTTAAACTACATTTCACAATAAAAGCAGCAGAAGAAAACTTGAAGAACATCTTCATTTTTGCATACTTAGCACGCGTTCGTTACTATAAAATGTATTTCATACCATCATCATCGTAGACACATTAAAGAAGATGTGCGATAGTATGCGAAAAGATACTTGTTGTAACATTACTACGATCCGAGATGCAATACGATGCGATGTCAGTTACAGGTACAATACCTACATACGTACAGGAAATTAATGCATTTTAAACATTTAATTCACATGATCAAAATAATGATCAAGTTAAACAAGTCGTCCGACAACGTTGCTGTTGTTGTTGTTGTCGTCTTCATTCTTTCTTTTAGTCGTATCGTATGTACTCTCTAACTTGGACGTCGCCGTTTGTCATTGCGTGACTGTTAAATAAAGAGTTTTATGTCTGTATTTCTTTAATTTTTTCCAAAGGAATAGAAATAAATTTAAAAGATTTAAATTTTATATAAAAGAAATTAGAAAAGAATTTGTTGTTACACATATAACATTAAAATCTGCTATATATTTAAATGCTAAAAATAGTAGTGAAAATTATTGCTTTTAGTACAAATCAAAAACTAGTTACATTTTCCATTAAATAAACAGTTAAAATCCCTAATTACTATTTCATGTTAGTTTCAGCCAAACTTAATGTAATATTACTTTAAAATCACACAAAAATTACATTAATTTAATGAAACTTTTCTCCCTCGTCCTATAAAATATGCCTACTCACCACACCAGGCAGTGCAATTTCGTTTAAACAAATTGCTTAAAATTCTTATTCAAATTGTTTTCATATCTCTTAAACTTGATCTGGCTTGCGTGTTAAAATTTTTTCTTACTGTCTTTATGATTTCAGTTCTTTTTTGTGTAGTTTTAAAACAAATCCAACAACTGACAATATGAGTAGGCAGTCAGTTAAATGAAATGCTTAGAAGAAATGAACTCTTTACTTTTAACTATTCATATTATTTGTATCATATCACAGATTTGAAATTCTCACAATTTGTTACAACTACAACGAGTTCTATTGTAATTGATGTTTGGAAAAAAAAAAAACATTACTACAACATCTTGTTCACAAGACTGTTGTTATACATTCAACATAAATGATTTGACAAATTATGTTTCAGTTGGCTGGCTGTCAGTATGTCTTTTAGGTTACAAGAACTTTTTAACACTTGTAGTACGATATTTTTTATGTTTTATGGATCTTATGATGGGAAATATTTGCAGTTACACAGATTATATCCCTAATATAAGCAGATGAAACAATTTGTTTTAGAAATCTCAATTGTAAAATAAAATTTAAGATTTCTATGGCCACATTTCAACACACACACACTGACTGCTTAGTAGTCAACTAAATAAGTTGATTGACCTTAGCTGCAATTGCTGTTGTAGCACAACATATAACCATAAAAAAATCTGCAGCATTGTTGCATTTGTTGTCTGTTATGGCTAAAAAATATAAGAAATAGAACTAAGACTACGCCACCAACTAACTAACTACCCATTAACCGAACAGAAGACACAATACTGGGCTTGTTAGTTGTAATGTTTCACCACGGGTCTGTGTCTCATCTAACCAAAACAAAAGAGCACGCGCAAACACCGTATTACAACTAAACTTAATATTTGCCTTTAAAACAAATATACACACACTTTTTTCCCAGTATTTTGTCTAGGCTAAAAATACAATATGTACAAAAAAAAAACGCCAAACATGATCATCATGATGTTGCTGGCGATCGTTATAATGATCTTCCTCAACTAAGGCTAAGACTACTATTTGATTTTATTTATTTTCCGTCTGTCGTTCCTTCCGTCTTTACTTTTATACACTCAAACACATAACAATCACCATCATTATGATCAGTTTTATTCTTTTTATAGAAGGTGGTTCTCTCTAACACAATTGTTAAAATATTTGTTATATGGCCGATATAAAAAAAGTATAATACTTCCTTGTCACTTTAAACATTACTTCAATTTAAGAGTTAATTAAATAAAAACTGCAAAGCTTAACTATGCAAAGCTTAACTATTTCATTAATTAACACTTTAAAAGGGAATGTAGGAAATTTTATTATTTAAAGTGATTTGGGTTAGTGAGTAAAATGTGTATATATATAAAACCATATTTATTTAAATGTTAAAAATTACCTAAAAGAATTTGTTAAACAAATAATCGTAAGGATTAGTTTAATCGTTTTTAAAACCGGTTTTTACAAAACTGGTTGGCAATCAATTTTTGTTACTCAATAAATTATTCGTAATTAATACAACTGAAACGATATTGTAAAAGAGTTCAATAATTCTTAAAGATAATCAATTTTGATTACTCTTTAAAATTATAACTGCCAATCTAGTTTTGTTGCTCAATAAAACCATGGAAATAGATGTTGTCTTAAGTAATCATATAGCTGATCGACAAAGAGTCAATGTATCCGAGAATAACAGTTATTTACACTAACGTCTAAACATCTGGTTGGTTAGAATGGAGTTTTACGAGAGTAAAGACTGCCGTTACTTTATAGTCCTCAAGTAATCATGAGAGTGGACACTGAAAAACAAACTTAAGCAAAAAGTTCATTGCAATTTGAACAAGCCTTCTGACTGTTTCTTGGTAATCTATGGAGTGGCGATTGACTTCTTTTTATAGGACATAAGCCGAAATGCTTTACGTGAACGAGAGTGAAGACAGCCGTCATTTTACAGTCCTCAAGTAATCATGGGAGTGGACACTGAAAAAAAGAACTTAAGCAAAATTCATTTCCATGCATAAACTCCTTTGGACAAGCTTTCTGGCAGTATCATGGTAATCTATGGATTGGCGATTGACTTCTTTGTAGCAGAACTTGTAGGACAGGCACATGTTAAAATAGCTAGTAATTTGGATAGTCGGTGGCTAAGGGTAACCCAAAGTGGTTTTTAGTTCTGTCCCGCCAAACTACTTGAGATTTTTCAACCATTCAAAGTTATGTGTGACTTCTTTGTAGGGCATAAGCGGAATTGCTTTATGTGAACTTATTTGATGACTCACCAGCCCATCTCCCAGACCTTGTAGCACAATCCAATGTTAAAATAGCTAGTAATCTGGATAGCCGGTGGCTAAGGGTAACCCAAAGTGGTTGGTAGTTCTGTTCCGCCGAACTACTTGAGATTTCACAACCATTCAAAGTTCTGTGTGACAAATTTATTCGAAAGCAATTAAGAGATTTATGCATTTTCTAATTATTGCGTGTATAAATTGACTTATTATTCTAAATATAAGTAGTTACCGCTTGAAGTTATATTATGTCAATACATGCCTCATTGCATCAATCATTAAAAATAAAGAACTATTTTAGTGAGAATTGTGTTTTATTTTTTTTTTTTTTTGAAATAATGAATATCCCAAGAAACCACACCATAAATTACTACTTAACAAAACAAGATCAGTATTTGATCTTAATTTGTTAAAAAGAAGAGAGTTTTTTTTTCTTTTGCTAATATTTCTGTCAGCTTTGGGAACGTTTCTTTTGTGTTCTTTGGAAAAGACTTTGTTTTAGCTGCTGGTATCTGTGTATCTTTTTGCATATTCCAACTGATGATTGTGTTGGCAAACGAAATATATATGCCGAGATATACAACAGATCCATATATACTCTCTTATGTATGTTATTATAATTTTTTTATGGTTTTTTGCTTTTACAGTTAGAATTTTTACTACTCCAACCAAGCGGCCATTATATGAGCACAAATATACTACATAAGTAGTAGAACACTTTTTTATGACGTTCTTTTTTTGCTCTTCTATATTTCTTTTTAGCCACATCTATTTTTATGTATTATTTTTTTTCGTCGTTTTCTTGTTTTATGTTCTGTTGCATGTGGATCTATTACTTACTATTTTATGATACATGTCAGTGTTGTGGTTGTTTTTAGGTTTGTTCTGTTCTCGAATTTTTATTGCAATTGTTTGCTGAGCTTTTTTGTTTCTCTTCATTAAAATGTTTAATTTTTGGAAAATATTATTTTCTTGGTTTCTTATTTATACATGTTCATTATAATCGATGTTTTTTCTATGTGTTATGGTAGGTTTGTCGAAATTTTAGCGTGGTTTTAAAGTTCCTAACATGTTGATCATTATTTTGAAGTAATTAAAATGATCAACATCACCTGTCATGTGGTAAGGTAACGACTTTTGAAGGTATCCTTTTAGATTTTGAACGTGAAAATTAAATATTTAATGAAGTAATATGTTTATTATGTAAAAGTTTTAAGGATTTGTGTATATATTTCCGGTAATAATGAAAAAATGACTGCAACTGATCATTAAAACACTTAAATGATAAAAATATTAATTTGTAAATAAAGCATTTTTATTGAAAGCTTCCAGTTTAAAGAGATTTCCGTTATTTCTTTATTTAAAGTTCAAAAATCCCTTGAAGATTTTGAACCATTATACATATGTATCTAACTAAAGGTTATTCTTGACAAACATATTCTAAATGTCATATACTCCACTCTAAAAGGCTCAAATAACAACTGTATGTAAGCAGTTTTAAACAAATGTTTGTCCCACTTCCTATA